AACCCTTTTTCTGGCACTTTTCTGAGTCAACTTCTTATTTTAATTAAATATAAATTTAAAATATTTTTTAGCAATGACCATTATGAACGTACTATTATAAATTTCTTAAAACCCACTTTTGATTCATAAAAGTGATTTAAAAATTTATGGGTATTACATTTATTCCTTATTTTTTTATCCAGGGGGGGGGGAAGTGCACCCCCTTGTGGGCGCCCATGCAAACAGGCCTACTGGAGTTTGGTATATTATCAAGTAAACCTAAATTACAAAAAATTATATAATTTTACTTCACACAACTAACTCGAAGGAACTATTAAGTTTTTAATTAAAAATTGACTTTTATAGCAACCTATTATGGGGGTTTCAGATTATAAACAATAATTTTTCGAACCTATGATTCATTTGTTTATTCTATGAAGTCATAAATTAATTACAATTTCATTTTTTTAAGTTTAATTGTTTAATAACAAATCGTTAACCAAGTTCAGTTTTACTATCAAATTGTCGAGACAAACAGGGTAGTTTTTTAACACCCCCGCCGCAGCAAACCTGTATTAAGGAATTTTGTAACTATTTCAGGTCCAACTGTAGTTAACAGAGGTGAATATTCTGCTTAACTGCATGAAATACTTATGAACTTTTGGCCAATGGTTTGGAATAAACAAAGTGTGTATAATGGGAGACCAGATAATGAGGAACTACTGTACTTCCATTCTGTTTAACATACTTAGCTTGATTGAAATAGGGAGTAAAACCAAGATTTCTTCAAATACCAGTGATGCAGCTTTAAGGAGACAAGTTTCTGTGTGAATTTTGCTGTAATTTGTGATTAAAATGTTTTGTAAAAAACTTATTTGCATAAATCTTACTTTCTAAGACTGAGGATAAAAGTCTGTTTAAATATACAGGCTGAACAACTCAATTAAATAGAAACTACAGTAGAACAATTAAGACTCCACATATTTTTGTTTCATAATTTGAATTTAATTTCCTTGTAAAAATTTGTTTTAATTCAAATTATAACCCTAATAATATACCCTAATTATTATATTAGGTTCTAGCTGTAACTTATAGATTTATGACAACCTGTTTTGATTAATTTAATTCTACGACAATGTCTATCTCATGTAAATGATCAATGGCAAATAAACCATTTACTTTCATTTCATAACTTTCTATAATAGCAATCAACTAAAATAGTTATATATAATCCCCTTTATAGCAAATTTTCCATACAGTGCAGGAAGTAAGCTATTACTGTAGGTCTTCAAGGTAAGACCTAGACCACAGACTATATAGTCTGTTAGACCCTGGACCAATTTATTGTTTTGTACGCAAAGGCCAAAAACAAAATCTTTCAAATTCAAATATACAGGATTAGGCAAAATTATGGATACCCCAGTCCCTATTAACTTGTCTACAGGTTATACTAAGAAAACCTAACTCTACACAACTATAAATAGCCTACAAATGCACTTTTTGGTTCTAAGGGCGATTTCGTCTAGGACCCCAAAATGGGGTATCTCAAAGCTCTTTACGAAACAAAAATATCAGTGAAAACTGGAGTAAAAAAATATATTTGGCTTATGGCAGAATAATTATCAAAATTACAAAAATTCATGTCCGTCTATTAAAAATGGAACTCGCGCTTCTATACAAAAATCTTCCCTACAACATGGCGATAATTTGAAAACTCTTCAAAAATCTATTTACGAAAATTTAAAATGTTTGAATACCCTCTTAAGTTAAATACACTACCATCATTTTGTATTCTCGGTTGAGTTACAGACATCTAGTTTTCACTATTGTTTTTCCTCAATGTTAAGCCTTATCTATTTGCAGATGATTTAGCAATACAAATCCAAAGGGAGAACTTGCTAAATTCAACAGTAATTACATACAAAGCAAATAGCTAATCGAAGACGGGTGTAAAGCTAACTGGTTTTAAATGTAGTAAAACCCAAGATTTATGTATTAGTTTTAATAATAGAATTAGTAAATTTGTAAAACATTTTTAGGAGTTTTATAGAATCTAACTAAGTGGATTTAAGTAATTAATGACTGTTCAAATTGTGTATAATGTACTTCTGTATAAATATGTTGAAAATTAAGAACAAAATAATGTCCCTTTCATACAAAATGCTGTTAAATATCATAAAACTTTAAAAACTATTTTAAATTAAAAGCAATAGTGGGTAACAAAGTCTGCATCTCCAGGTATACTCTACTCCAATATTGTTTACTAACATGCACAGTCCAATAGTAATATTTACCTGAAGTAGCGTTAATAGCTACTGTGCTGTTGATGAAAACCATCCGAATGATTAAATTGGTCACAGACTTAAGCGTGTTCATCACAACAAATTTTCACGGCCCTTTCCCCAGCTCACTATAGACAATACTAAATCTTTCTATGAAAACTGCTTGTCTCATGATTTTTGCAAGATAAATGTTCACAATAATGCAAGATAAAAAGAAAATAGCTAATGTAGCGACTGCAATTATAGACTTAGATAAATCATATCACGAAATTGCAGCAAATGGGTCAAGTAGTTCAAATGAGTAATTCACTAATGTTAGAAATATTCATTGAATTGTTTTGAAGTCATATCTAAAGGTCGAGAGATTAAACTGTGGCTATTATGCTGGTGAAAAAGCTCTAAAGACTTGTGTCGTGAAGGAAAAGAATAATAAAATCCGATAACAAAACAAAATGAAAATTGATTTTTTGATTTGGTAATCTTAAATATTTGGGGAGAGAATATGAATTTCCGATATTTTGGGTTATAATACGGTACAACTTTAAAACTACAGATGAATAATATATTTTTGGATGTTTTTTACACTATTCAATTTTCCTTTAGGAACTTTAGCTGATCTTATGTTTTGCCCAGATGGGATCGAACCAGCAACTGTCAGATATGGAGGTGAGCACTATAACTCTCAGCTACCCAGACAATAACTACTTCCTTAAAGGAAAATTTAATAGTTTAAAAAAGATTCCATCTGTTGAGGTTTTAAAAGATAAAATTTTTTACTGAATACATTTAGAGGAAAAAATTTGTATATCAAAATGTATTAGGTAGGTCATATTAATTAATTGTACATTTAATTGGCAATTAATTGAAGATGAGTTGGTTATGGTATTTATGTATGCAATATTGTGTATCACAAACAACTGCATTTCATAACATTCAACTTCAACCTTTGGAATGATCATTATTACCCCAGTGATTGGATGCTGGTTTTTAATTGTTATCTCGAGGGCTCTTATTCATGCTCCCTACTACAATATGTATAATTAGCGCTACTTTTTTCATGTTTGTTTATTACGGAAATTGAACTCACTGTTTACTGATAGTACTGCTATATAGTTTTATAGTTGTTATTTGTTTTTTAATCTCTGAATTTTGTGTGGTAAAAATTGTCATGATCAAACACTGTCTTGCCCTAACATGGTCAGGTTTTGAACCCCAAAATATTGTGAAATCATGGAACTTAAGTATATTCTGATTGTGTCTATGCCACTGGCATTTTTGACCAAGAAATCACAAAAGTTTTTAAAGGAATGCGATTTCCTCAAATTTTTTAGGCTACAACCTCGATTGAACCCAGTCCCTCTTGCACTGATGACTGAGACGCTAACCACTAGGCTACAGACAAACCGTATGGCACATCAAAATATGTATGTTCACCGCTTTCCTTAAATACAAATCCTCATGAGATTTTTTCTGACAAAAAAATCCTTTTACCCTTAAATAAATAATTGTAGTTTCTACCAAAAATATGTAAAACTGTGGTAGACCAGCAAAATGGAGTTTACAGTTCTATCAAGTATTGATGCAAATGTTAAAGAAAAGATAATCACAGTTTTTAACATTTGTTTTATCCGATATGCTTCTGGAATGAAAAGAAAATTTTACCAAACATGACATTTGGAAGCTATCCTGACATGTACAGCCTCTTGGATTTTAATTGTTTCATTTACTTTATTGGGATTATTATGTAAAAAGTTTAGGGCATCTTTGCCAATGTGGATGCTTTAAGAGGTTATTAAGGTTGCACTTTTTTTGTTCGATTCAAGTTTTTACGGTACTGTGCTTGAAATTCAAAACAAAATCTCAATTACTATGAGTAGACCTTGTGAAACATATGAACTAGGCCACTTTTTATGAAGAAAAAAAAAAATCATGACAGTCATTAACTTTTAAGCTATGAATTTGCACGAAATAAAATCTTTCAATTTGGCCTCTTTTAATCTGGCATTTGCCCCTCCACATAGACTACAGATCTGTGCGTGGAACGTATCCAGCAAAGCAAGGGGTTCGGTATAGTACGAAGGTGAACTGTACTGATAAATTTTAGTGGCAGTGACCAGGATCCGAACCCACGACGCTGCCTTGGGCCCGAAGTCCGTGACGCTACCAACTGAGCCACCGACTCACCAAACTCACTTATTTTCAAATTCCAACAAAAACTCTTGAATCAATAACAAGCTCGCTGTACCATCACACAGGAAACTTTTTTGCTGTTTTTAATAGTGACTTCACATAAACAGCTAAATTTTTAATAAAATTTAGTATCTTATGGTCTTTTTAACGATTAGCAAAGTGTTACAGCCCCCAACTGTGTAGGAAATACTGTTCGGGAGCTTTGCATTTTTTGTGGTTTTACCCTTAAAATAGCAACCCTCACCGCTTATCCATTATATTGTCCATCTTTGATTTTTAACAAGCTAATAAGAGAAAGTATGTGTCATTTAAAATGTTCATTAAAGGAAGGGCTCTGTCAAATCTTTTCTTACAACAAATTTATACGAAGAGTTTGCTAATTCTTTATTTGTTCTAAAAACTATCCAAATTGAAATAAGTATATTTAGTTTTAGTGGAAAATAGTTTTTAGTGACAAGTCTTTTTCTGTGAAAATTGATCAGTGGCAAAAACAAATTAGCTCTAAACATTTTCAAGGTTAACATGTCGGCAACAAATTAATACAAGTAATTCACCTCAATTAATATCAACACTTTATTTTCCTACAATTTGAGACACAATTTCAATATCAATAAAATTAAAAATAACCATTTAAATGCGGAAACTAAATAAATATAACTAACAAGTACCAAAATCACTAAAAATTGGTTGTTGTAAACTTGTGCATTTTTGTTGTTGTTCTAAAAATGTTACAAGGAACAAGTACAACAAAATAAACAAATGCACAATAATAAAAATGTTACAATTCAACACATAACATATTTTGGTTTCAGAAAAGAGGATTAGTCACGCTGCCTATTACAGATTACAACTTGTATACCTAGTTACAATATCAAGATGAATTTAATTGAATTATTTGCAAATTCAAGAGTTAGAAATTCATATTGAAATGGTATTGTATAAAAAGCATTTTATTGAACAAACATAAAAACAACTCCATTCCACAATTGGGTTTATGACACAAATTGCATGTAACCTAAAAGAACAATTTTTTTTTATATAAAACTGAATGGAAGGATAACAAGTGACAAAAATTACTCGAAATATAAACAAAATAATATTTTTGTTTACAATTTTGCAAAGATCATGTCCCACTAAAATAAATTTAAGCTTTAAAACTTACAAAGTATAATAAAATAAACTAAAAATATATAGATACAGTATGATCAAATGTTTTTATAATTTTTTTTTATTCCGAAATGAATTTAAATTGAAAAATCAAATATAGGTCAGAATATTGTGAAAGATCAACTGGTAAAAAGGGTGTGTTAATGAACCCCAATCTTTATTGTTTGCATCAAGAAACATAACAAATCAACATAATTATTTATCAGTTGGCATCATCTCAGACAAGGAAAACACAATCACGGATCTGACATGCTTTCTTCCTATTTTCCAGTTGATCTGAATTGCCACATTGGTCGCGATGCTCATCACACCTCAAGATGTTTTTTGGTACTGTGCTGTCCACCAAAGATTTTTTTTATGGCAGAGTCTGCCATTATCTGCTCTACCATTAGTAAGAACAGGAAGATCAGCTGTGGAAAGTCTAGCACTGATCAAGGGAATTGACATATGTCTGTGTTCGGTCATCAGGTATTTCGAACCATATTGCATCAGTCATCATGAACTTCATCCCTCTGCAGCTTCTTGAAGGTATCAACAAATGTTTGGCCGTCATGAAGGGTATGAAAAGGAACTATGACGACTCCAACCTCCTTGTTGTATCATAAACATAGGATTTGGTCCACTTTTCCCCTCAGGGTACTGTTACAACGTCTTCCAATGGTAAAACTCTGCAAGGAATCTCTACGAAGTGATCTCTAAGATTTACATTCCAATCTTGCAACTCTTGAATGGTTGCCAGGATGGAGTTGAGTGACATCACTTTCATCAGCTGGGAGTTGGACCTCATGTTGTCAGTTGGTCCAGTGGTGCAATCCCTTCCTCAGTTCTTCACGTGTTTGAACATTGTAGATATCGCGGAAGTAGTAGCTCATACAAACAAGATACTTGCACCCCATTCTTGTGAAGTGTAGACTCAGGTCCTTGATCCCAGTTAACATCCGTGATTGTGTACGTCTTGTTATTGTATCCTGTCAAGACTATCATACCCATGACAGTTCTAGTGAACTTGGCTCTGTAGTCTTGTGGGTTGTTCTGGAATAAAACAAATTTGGTGCCTCACAGGTTCTTTTAGGTTATAACAGTGTGATTTGAGCACTGTTGGACTTGAACAATGTGACATTCCAGATAATCACCTTATTTGAATCCAAAATTAGTTGCGTGTTTCATAATATTTATTATTATGCATTTGTTCATTCCAGAATACTTTTGCACGGCAATTTTTAGGTAAGTAGATAATTAATAAAAAAACCAAAAGTTTGCATTTTATAAAACCCACCCAGAAACTTTGAGATGTAAAAAAGTCCTCACTGAACAACCAATCAGGTTGCAGACTAATTATTTTAGCTTTTTCAACAAGCCAAACTTGTGTTTGTACCAGTTCATAGATTCAAAGATGTTTCAAAACCCAACATTGACCTTACATTTGAAAGAGAAAGTTTGGTAGAGGATGCAACAATAGAATATCGGTTGACATTTTCTATGGTACAGTAATGTATTCCAGTAGGGTACTTGATAAAAATCTGACGAGATTAAATATTGCCCCAGAAAAAAAGATAGTACTCAAGAATCAGTTGTCATCAAACTAGTTGGAGAATTCCATAGTAAAGATGCCGATTACTTAAAGTTCTTCAACATTTTGGCACGGAAGTGTTGTGTTATGCAATGTTGAGTCTGAACCTAATCAACAGGGATTTGTACAATCCAATTGCCAAGACAAACGTGCCAAAGTGTGCCTTGGAAATCTGGCCAGGATACATAACAACGATACACCATGAACAAGAAGTCATGAGGACTGAAACTTGTTGGGACGTGTATTGTTCTATAGTCCAGAACAACCCACAAGAGTTCACTGGAGTTGTTTTGGGTATGATAGTCTTGACAGGGTATAACAACAAGACATACACAATCACAGATGTCAACTGGGATCAGGGGCTTGATACTACATTTGACAAAAATAGACAACAAGAATCTAGTTTGTATGAGCAAACAACTACTACCACAAGATGTACGATGTTGAAATAGGTGAAGAACCAGCTGTTGTTGGTATCAAAGAACCGAGGAAGGGATTGCACCACTGGGCTAACTGACAACATGCGATCTAACTTCCAGCTGATGAAAGTGATGTCACAGAACAAAAGGAATAGTCCTGGCAATCATTGACCGACTCTTTGTAATGAATAGGCGACTGAACGGTGAAAAACGAGTCTAGAAAGAGTATGTTTATGAAACAAAAAGAAGGTTGGAGTTGATGTTGATACCTTCAAGAAGCTGATAGAGGGACGAAGTTCATGATAAGTGATAAGTGATACAATATGGTTCGAAATACCTGATGACAGAACGCAGACATATGTCAATTCCCTTGATCAGTGCTAGACTCTCTACAGCTGATCTTATCGTTCTTACTAATAATGTAGCAAATAGATACTCTGTCGCAAAGCAAATTAAGTGAGTAGAAAGACGATCAAAGCGTGCAAAATGAACAAATACACAATAATAACTACGTTAAAAACACATGGATTCAGATTAAATCAAACAGTTCATAGCAGATTAAAACTTGTAATTTACCTTGTAGGACTAACAAGTTGAAATTAATGTTGAACTTGTGTTCTATAAAAAACATTTAAACTTAAGTTATGCGAAAGAAATGGTAATAAATCAAATCAAATTAATAATAAACAAATACAAAATCAATTCCATTTTATAATAGAGTTTATTACACAAATTGCATTTAACCTAAAAGAACCATTTTTGAACAAACAACTGAATGGAAAGATAATGACAAAAATTACTGGAAATACATATATACTAAATATTAACTCAGTATTATTATACCTTTGTTTTTGCAAATATCCATGTCCCACTAAAATAAATTTAAGCTTATAGGCAACTTACAAAGTACAAGAAAATAAACTATAGTTAATAGAGACACAGTGTTAACAAATGTTTTATATAATAACTGTTTTATTCTGAATTTTACATTGAAATACTTATATTGAAAATACATTTTTGTTTGTATATAGAAATCCATATAAAAGTTTACATTAATACAAAATAAAAAGCATATGGAAAAAGACGTAAAAGAACCCCTTTAAAGGTGTAACTAGTATATTAGTTGTAATGCATATATATCTAAAAAATGGGTTTTACATACACCTATTTTCTTCTCCTGAAGTTCTTAAACATACAAGTTTTATCAAAATATCGACAATTACATTAAACAGTTTAGAGAAGAGATGGTTTACAAATACATACCTACTAATACATATTATTCTAGTTATAAAAATTGAAAATAAACAAAAAACAAACGTTACTAAATTTTAGTTTTATACATCACAAAGTTATCGGCGGTGTTTCCTCTTGCTATTTTTACTGGAACTACTTGAGTTCAATGAGCTCGACGAAGACGAAGAACTTGATCTTCTTTCTTTTCCCTTTGCTTCTCGAATTTTTCTCAACTCATCTAACTTTTCCGTTAAAATTCTCTTAGCCTCGTTGCCACGGTTTGATTGGCTATCTCTTTGAGGAGACTTGGATTCCGACTTTTTTGAAACAGGTTTTTTCTCTGGGCTTGAGGAGTCAGAAGAGGAAGAAGAGTCTCTGCGTTTTCTCTTTTCTTTAGAATTAGCACGACGTGAAGATCTTTCGGATGTGTCTTTTCTATCTCGAGAAGATCGGGAATCTTTACGTTGCTCACGAGAACGTCTATCTTTGGACCTTTCATGTCTGTCTCGGGACCTAGATCTTCCCCTCCTTGAGCGAGACCCATCCCTTCTACGATATCCTCTACCAGATGAAGATCTATCTCTCCTACGAGATGAAGATCTATCTCTCCTACGAGATGAAGATCTATCTCTCCTACGAGATGAAGATCCATTTCTTCTGCGAGATGAAGATCCATCCCTCCTACGTGAAGAAGTCCTATTTCTTCTACCAGATGAAGATCTTCGCTTTCTACTTCTAGAGTCACGCCTTTGCCTTGATCTAGACCTGGACTTGATCCGTGTTCTTCTATCTCTTGATCTACTATCTCGCTGTCGAGATCTGGATCTTTTATCTTTACGTTTATCTTTTAAATCTCTATCTTTCTTCTCGTCTTCTTTCAAGTGATCTTTGTCAGCTTTGACTTTATCAGTGGATTTCTGCTTTTCTTTTTCTCGCTCACCTTTTATTGAATCGAGGAGTTTAATTTTATCTTTAATTTCATTTATTTTCTTCTCCTTTAACACCTTGTCCTTCTTTTCCTCAATATTTTTACCCTTAGGCCTACTGCCAACATCACTTTCTTCTTCACTCTCATCTTCTGTTGTGGGAGGAGAAGGTTCCACATCATTTTGTTTGCGAGGTTTTGTTTCTTCCTCTCTATCCTTTTTGATAATTTTCTGAGGAGTTTCATCACTACTTACACCATTGTTCATCAACTTTTTTTTAGGAGTATCATCATGACGGCGTCGGATCTCAACTCTACTTCTTATTGCTTCATTTCGGGATTTAACCTAAAAAAAGGGAAGGTAAGTAAATAAGTTGTTCATGGGATTTTTAAAATTTTTTTAGAAAGGAACTCATCACCCCTTTGATTTATGTTTTTTATCGGTACAATGAAACTGCAATGTGTAGGCAATAATTGATCGTAAAATCATAATGAAAAGTGTCAAACCATATAAAAATGCTGATAACCTTTGTCACTATTGAGTTGCTAAGTAACTTTCTCACTACTAATGATCAAAACAAGTTTCTGAACAGAGCCTACAATCAGTGTCTGTGAATATAAATTCTATGAACATTGTTACTTTTCCCCTTACCTACTGTCACCACACGTTGTATAGCAGGTTTCTTAATTATGGTGAATTTTATCATTGTAGGTTATTTTTGTGATGATGCATTTAACACAAAAAAATCGGTGTCTTAATGACAAACTTAACCAATGGATGTATTTGAACACGGACAAACATTATTATTTACTTTAAAACTTGCTTACTTTATATTATTGTCCGTGTTATTCTTTTCACTTATTTAACTTTGCTGCAGCGGGTTTAGGTCAGATCATAAAGACTCTATAAATAATTGGAAAGTTTATATATATTTTTAGCCTATCATGGCCACACCTATATCAGAAATAATGTTTTGAAAATCAAAGTGAGGTGACATTTTCATTTTGAACTTCATCAGGGCTTCACCATCATTTCAAGTAATAACAAATTATATTGAACTCTACATGATATTTCTAACTGTATTTTCAAATGAATATTTTGTGACAAATCAAATTATTATATCACTTTCAGCAAGTTCAATGTAGAAAAAAGGTTTATCATAATCTCAGGCTAACACACCTCTAAATACAGGGTGTTCAACAATGGGAAAGCATGTTAATCCTTTGAGTGCTATGCAACGATATAGCGTTGTTTACTAAAATCTCTAAGGAATAGAGAGGAAGGTTATTTGAACAAAAAGTAGCAAAACGGTTATTGGTGACCTGCATGTTCATAGGATACACTAACAACCACTTAGCTAAAAGATTCGCCCAATCCGATGACTTCGAGGTGTATGTCTAAACCAAGGATTATGAACACCTCACTATGCCCCAGTGGTTGTAGTTTGGAGTATATCGCTACAAACACACAGGTCACCAATTGTTTGCCACACAGGACAGGATTTGATCCCGAGCAGACAAATGCCACTGGCCAAGTGACACCCGCCCTAGCCACCTCGGCTATCTGTGCTTCGAGACTGTGGAGTAAAAAGCGGTATTTAAGCTGACGTAAACGATTGCTAACAGATGGCGCTACAGCTAGTAATTCAATGTGTTACTAGATAGAAGCACTAGTTAGTCCCGGACTATTTAGACAATATTTTTCAGCTGAACCACAACAGTGGTCATAAATGGTGTTACTGAGGCTTTACTGCAACAAGTTATTTTTTCCTAAAAAGGCTGTATTATAATAACTTTATCAAACTAAATCAAGGCTAAATTCAATATTACATTGTAAACTATATGTCTTTTGATTTTATGAGATTTTGGTTTCAAAATATGCTATCAAAACATTACAATTTATAAGGAAACTTGGAAATTTACAACAAAAGCAGAGTTTTATTTAATTCTTTACTGCAAATACCAAGACTTCTCTTTGTTATATATTTGTTATTGTCTTATTATTCTGAATTATCCTGATTAATAAAATAGTGAATTATTACAGTTACAATTCAACAACAGGTAATGGAATTGAAAGGCAAACAAAAAAGTCTTACAAAATACAAATTATTGGCCTAGCACTCAAAGGGTTAGTAAGATTTTTTATATATTTTTTTTTTTTGTTATGTTTTGTCTTGGCAACTAGACTAGGCTATCTTTGACAGACTTGATCATCAAATTGCCACAGAAAACATACTACTATAACGCAGAATGCCAACCGCATGGTAAAAAGCATTAAGTGTTTTGAGAGAGCTTTGCCTGTCAATCGTAGGCAGCGCCACCAGCGTTGCTATGCTGAGTGCATGGCAACACTGGTGGCGCTGCCTACGATTGACAGGCAAAGCTCTCTCAAAACACTTAATGCTTTTTACCATGCGGTTGGCATTCTGGGTTATAGTAGTATGTTTTCTGTGCTACTACTAACTAAGCAAATAAGGTGTTTCTAGTTGGATATTGCACGAACTGGACAAGTCCCAAAGTACAATATGCAGTTACAACTACTTGCTTTAAAGTAGGGATTTACTAACTAAGCCCGATACAATAATCAAATTGCCGAGATGAACCGAATCAAGAAATTTATGAACTCCCTCATTCCATTGTTAGCATTAACAGCTGTGTTAAATGAAGACAACCCAAAAAAATCCATCTATTTAGTTCTGCACAATTATTTTTGAACTACCCTGTATAGAAATTTACTTTCTGATGAGATAATTGTAAATCTTACTGGAGACACAGGGGATGATCCACCACTCTCATAGTCGAGTGCGTTGAGATCGAGGGGGTGTACGGGGGATGACTGTCCGTTGGGTTGGCTGATAGTATCCTCGGAACCATGCCTGGCCGGGGGAGTGTGCTGCGGGGTGTGGCCAGCACTGCGGAAAGCATAAACATTGTAGTAATGTAGGGTGTTCTCATCAGCCCTGCTTAAAAACTAGTAAAACTACCATTACGTAAATATAATATCATAAAAATATACTGTAAACAAAATATTAACTTTGTTTTTAGAATTTGAATAATCATGCTGAGCATACTTAAGGTTTGTCAAACTATAAATATATGAGAAACACTATGTACCCATAAAATATATTATGTGAGGTAGGTCAATACTTGTTTTTATTGGGAAGAAAATGTAAAATGTAACTGCTGAGCTATTAATGAGAAAACTAACTCGTTTTGGTTATTTGAAAGGGGGCTACCTTTCTGCACTGAAATATTAACAGTCTGGCCTGCCTTTACTCCAAAATTTCATATGCGGCCCTTGTATAAAAAAGGTTGGAGACCCCTGAAGTAGGTGATCTCGATTTCACCACGATGATCAAAGATTTGAAAATCAGTAATGAATCAATCATGAACAAGTTTTGCAGAATCCTTAAATGGCTTTGTATGGTCCTATTAAGGTTTACCCGCAAAATTCATCGTTCATTTACGGTTGAGTAGGTAGGCCTAATCTGAAATAATGTAATCTACAACTTAAGTAACAATGTTCTTAAACAGACAAAACCTCCTGATGGTAAAACTAGACCCCACAGAAAACTTAGGACCGATTTCCTTTTTAATTGTTAACTCCCAAATGATCGTCGGTTTCAATCACAAATACACTCATCAATTCCAAAATTAGACAGATCCTTGCATGTAACCAATTATTTACACGTCATAAATGTTATATAAAAATAGCAATGTTTACAACTTATTTTTAAAGAATTATGACTATTTTAGCAGTGATGGTCCTGGTGCATTTTTGGCCCGGAACAAGTACTGACTTAACTAACAATTAAAAACTGATGCTATTTACTCATTTGAAGTTCGCAATACACAAAAAATTATGATAAAGATTATTACCTCTCTTGCTCTGGTGTTTTTTCACGAGGTCTTGAGTTGAATTTCTCTCCATGTCTCACCTTTCTAGCTTCTTCGCGTCTTTTGATTTCTTCATCCTTTTGCTTCTTTTCACCCTCCTTTTTCTAAATCACACAAGTTATTAGCAAACAGAAGTGACTGTTCTAACTTAACATGAACTCTGATAAACTTTTAATTTGAGATATGTGTCTTAGGCAACAAATTAAAAAAAATAAAATAAAACAACAAATAATTACGAAATAAAAAAGGAAATAACAAATATGTCTGAAATAAATAATGTAGAAGAATTGCGAAAAACAATAATACTCATTATTTGGAGCTGAAACCTGGATTTTAAATAAAGACTTGCCAAAAATCATATTACTATAGACAGGTAGATTACTTCAGCAATTTTTGAAATAACTGAAGAGGAAATGCCGGGAAACAATTAATTATATCTGATATTTAAATATCCCTTTTGCTTAAATAGTAATATATACTATCACCTGCTTAATGGTGAGATGGAGAAAAAACAGGTGTTGATTAAACTAATGTTCTTTTAAACATAATTTGAGAAAATGTTCGCACACACCTCGTACTCTGTCAGTTTTATGGTCCGTTTTTGGGCTTGACGCCAATGTGGGGGAGTGACGCTCCTGCTTCTGCTTCTAGACGGAGTTCGGTAGCGCTGAAAAAGAATGGCTTGTACTACTTGTTACACATAAGGTAAATTGCCAAATGTCGTGACTCGCTCAAATACCGTGATTCCCCGCTTTAAACGTATAAAATTAGCAGACGACTGAAGGTTCAAGACATAGAGAAACGATAGCTTGCTCTATGTGTCTTTGAGTTTGTTACTCTATGGTTCGGTCGTAACCGGCACCAAGTAGTCTGTGACAGTAGCGTCTGAAATCGTGACCATTTTGAATGTCACCAATTTCTTAACGTCTGTTGAGTTTCAAGTTTCAAGATAGTGATTCAGGAAAGCAAAATAGGATTTAATTCAATACGTAAGACAGCTGTATGAATAATTTTTGGTGTTATTTCGTAGAGTTATATTAGTATTTAGTTCTTCTGTATTCAATTAGTTGATTTTTCAATTTAGTAAAGGTTAAATTAGGATCACGTTATTTAGCAGAAATATCAATCTAAACTCTGTGACGAATTCCCAGAGTTTAACTTTTAACACGAGTGTTTCAATTGTGTTAGAAATAGTTGAATTTACAAATATTAACAGTGTCGGAGTGAAATCTAAACTTATTATTCATCTAGATGTGTTGGCTAAAGTCCGTAAGTAAGTTTTCTATTACATTTTGGTAAAACCGGTCCAAAATAACAATGTTACCGGAACTACGTGATGAAGACTTCATACTAAAATAATGTTTGAATCGCGGCCCTATAATTTTATTCCAAGTACTTTCTCGCTTAGTATGGACTTTAGTAACCCCTTCAAAATATATTTTTCCAACAGATTTAACATTTTTACAAGTGTTTTTGATCATGTTAGGGTCCGTGAATGAATTGACCAATGCTTCTGCTAAACTCCATGAAAAATTCACGTACAAATTCACAGAGTTTATATTTTAACACAAATGTTTTAATTGTGTTGGAAATAGTTAAATTTACAAATATTAACAGTGTCGGAGTGAAATCTACACTTATTATTCATCTTGATGTGTTGGCTTAAGTCTGTACACTAGTTTTCAATTAAACTTTGGTAAAAAACGTTCCAAGATAGTAGGTTTACAGAACTAGGCCTACCTGTTGAAGACTTCTTACTAAAAAGATGTTTTAAAACCGTTCGAGTGTCAATCGTCGGAATTCCGACGACTTTAGCTGGTCCGCTAGTGTACGATGTTGCAGACGCTACACAACTCGCTCTGAATGAACTCCAGTTGTACTGAACTGGATTGATTTTTGTGTCAACAGAAAAAGCAGATTCTAAGCTTGAATTCAATGTACCTTTACTGTCTGCTCTTTTGTTGTTTTTTTAACATATAGCCTACACCTACTGAACCTACCAGAAAGGTAGTAATTTTTATGTTTAAAGATAGTCTATTTGATCTATTTTCATTATATATATAGTGTTATAAGAGTAGGTTATTATATAAATTTGTTAGAGCGATTTTTGTAAGTGTCTGCAAAACTGCTAAAAATGCTGTGACATTGAGATTTTTTATGGGCACCTATAGGGCTCTATATTATATTCCAAGTACTTTTCTGCTTTGTACGGACTTTAGTAAACCCCTCAAATATATATATCCAAAATATTTACCTCTTTACAAGCATTTTTAAAATCACAATAAGATCTTTTAACTGGGAACTAATAGTTCAATGCTTCTGCTAAACTCCGTGATGATTTTACGGAGTTTTTGATTTGACCACGAATACTAGAATTCGACCAAATGTGCACCTAACAAACCTTAATTGTGTTGTGTGGTTCGGTTGATTTGTAACTAAACTTTGAATATATTTAAATATTGTTGTTTAGAGCTAAAAATACGTCTTAAATGTGTAAGTGAGTTTATTGATAGGTTTTTATTCAAATCTATATAACTGCGTGTTCAAGACTATCATGAACACTTTATTATGTCACTGTTTTTAAAGTTGTGTTTCTTTTTTTATAGAATGCCTACTCCGAAAGCGTCCAGAAGAGCTTACTCCCAGGAGACTTTAGAAGCCGCTTCGCAGCAGTGGAAGATGGTATGACAGAGTCTGCTGCTTCAAAGCAGTTCTGCATTCCCAGGCAGACTTTGAAAGATAAGATCAGTGGAAAGTATGCCACTTTTTGACGTCCGTCTATTTTGACTCCCGAAGAAGAGCAGACTATCGTCGACTGGGTGATCACGATTGAACACGCTGGTTTCCTTATCAGCAAAGACCAGCTTCTCACCAGCGTCCAGAAATTGATGAAAATTTGAATCAAAAATCCCTTTTCCGAGAGCACCCCTGGAGATAAATGGTTGGCTCTATTCACACAAAGACATCCTGAAATTTCAGCCAGAGTGTCACAAGCCCTCACAACCACCATGGCAAATGTCACAGAGGGACACATCAGGAAATGGTTTTCCGAAATAAAAAAATACCTAGAAGGTAAGAATCTAATGACTATCTTTGATGACCCCAGGAGGGTGTTCACAGATGAAACTGACTTCTTTCTATGCCCTAAAGGCAAAAAAGTATATGTCAGGAAAGATTAGAAGCTGGTATACACAATCACGGGAAATGACGAAAAGGTATGCCTCACAGTACTTTTCACAGCAAATGACTTTTAGCACCACCAATGATCGTATATTCATACGAAAGAGTCCCATCAAGTATTGTCCAGCAGGTACCAAGCACCTGGGGAATCGGTAAATCAGAAAATGGCTGAATGACATTTTTTTAATTTGTCACCAATATCTTCCACCCTTGGTTGCTGGCAAATCAAATTCCCAGACCTGTCGTCCTGTTCTTAGATGGACACACCTCCCACCTTACCCTTCATCTGAGCAAGTTCTGCTCATAGAATAGGATTGAGTTAATTTCTCTCTACCCTAACTCGACTCATATTCTCCAGCCGATGGACGTGTCTGTCTTCCATCGACTCAAGACGTGGAAAAAGACTGTAGAGCAATGGCGATTGGAGACAGGCGCATCAACGATCAAAAAAGAATTTGCTCCTCTATTAGACAAATGTCTTAAAGAAGCTATAACCAGTGGCTTCACCACTACTGGCCTTTTAACTCTTAATACTGATGAAATCGACTTCAAGAAGCTTGTGAAGAACAACCATAGTGGCATACAACCAAAACCATACAGTCAAAGCCAATGGCTAAGGTTGCGTAGCCACCTGACATATATTGGGGGCAAAATTGGGAAGGAGAGACTAAAGACATTCCAAGAAAATGACATCAAAGTGGAAGACAAATCTCTCCAGGGAGTGTGGCTGGACATAAAAAAAGAAGTCTCCCTCTACAAAGAAGGACTTGATAGGATGCCCAATGAAGAGAGACGATCTGAGGTGAATCCACATGGTGTAGAAGTTGTAGAAGAAGAAGCGGTAGAGGCATATGTAATTGCCGAAGGGTTGGAAGTGGCTGTTGACTTTATTGTGGATGAAGATATAAGCTTCCTTATCGAACTGGAAGTGCCAGTAATTACAGTCCAAAGCAAGTACACAGAAAAAATAAATCCTACATCCAAAAACCCACTTTTTTAGGACAATCAACAAACCCTGATTTGTATCTAAGCCCCCAACCATCATGGCCACTCCTTGATCCCACAACCTCTTCCCCGACTGATTATCCCTCTCCACTATCATTAAACCTATCCAACATATCTAATCAATCATTTCTATTAAACCTAAGCTCGCCACCTGCCAATTTCCCACGGACCCCTAACTCGCAGTGTGACCAAAACTCCATAATGATCCCCCTGGAAACACCGAATCAATTCTCACCCAAAACACCGGCCTTGACCCAGCAAAATATAAAGGCAAAAATTACGACACCATTTAAAGACGAGCTTTACTGGCCAGAGCAGAAACCCCCAAAATCGACCACAATAAAGAAAAAACTCACATTTCCCAGTGCAGCGATATCAGAAGAGTTGAAAAATTTTTACTAGAAAAAAGAAGTAGATAAGAACCGAGAAGGAGAAGGAAGAAAGGAAACGATTGCGGCAAGGTAGACAGAAAGTAAGAAAAGAATGAATTGAAGGCGAAAAAAAAGAGAAGATCCCGTAACGCATCTGAAGAAGACGACGACGTCGTAGAAGATTTAAGAGTACAAACCCTAGAAGGTGAAGAATCTCCCGTTGATGAAAACATCTCCTCTACCACTAGATTTGAACAGTCTCTGCCAAAGCCAGTGGGTAGTCATCCCATATACAAATAACGACGAAACAAAACATTTTGTGGGCAAATTTTGTCCATAAAGACAAGTGAAGAAGTGAAGACAGTGCGAAGACAAGTGAAGAGTGCGAAAAGTGTGACCGTCAAATTCTTAGAAAAAAAATCCATGAACTCAAATTCAAGTGGCCTATCAATGACGATGTGCACAATGTGCCAATCAATGAAATCTTTTGTATCTTGAGAGAACCAAATTTCAATCGATGGGGCTACCTCCTTCGTGATATTTATTGGATAACTTAAAACCACGGTTGATCCAACATGCGACAGTTTGAGAAAAAACACCATATTTTAAAGCCCGATAACTCGGTAACCATTAGGAATCAAATAAAAGTGCAAATGTCATTTTTGTTGCAAATTTAATGATCTTGTATTTGGTATCCAGCCACTTTTAACTCCGATCAACGGTTCTCAAAATTTTAGCCAAAAACCAAAAACAGTGCCCTGTTTTCGCTAATTGCCGCTAGCGCTCGTCTCATATCAATGGGGACTTTTGGTACAGTAGAACCTCGATAGTCAACACTTTGTGGACTTAACGGATGCCGAACTATCGAAATGTCAAACTATAGAGAGAAAATGAAGCTAATTAATATACAGGAAAGTAAAAACACAAGCCTTAAATAGAAATCACCCAAATTTAGTAAATACTAAAAAGCTTAACAATTTCACGGTTCATTAGTTAAGTCTCAAGTCAACAATAAATGATAAATTAATGTTCAAGTCAGCTTACATCACAATACAGTAGATCCGGACTCCTCGGGACCGAGGCCAGTCCGGATAACAGGTTTTCCTGTTAAACCGACGTCCCCAAAAACTCGTTAAAACGTACTGTTTACTGTGATATTCGACTTAAATTAAGAAGAGCATTGTATTTAGACACTGGTCTCAAATATTTCCCACGAGAACAGTCGTTTCAGTACCGTCCACTTCTTGCCGATCTAGTCCAGTTAAACCAATGTGCTGATAAAAATTGTCTGGTTAAAGAGATGTCATTTCCGCCGAGTGTAGTCCGGTTGGAAGGTCTCCGGATAAGAGAGAGTCTACTGTAGTAACCATAAAATATAACTTGACAAAATAGCTCAGCCCGTGTTGAACTATCGAAGAAATAAGTGTGCAAAATTTCAAAACTTTTGGATTGTTTCGGAGGTTAAACCTTTTTAAACTGGACTAACAACTTTTCTCAATTATCAACAAGTAATTGCAACATGCCAAAAATGGATAAAAGTAAACTATTTTCCTTTTGCTGGTGTTACTTTATTAGAGTGGGTATAAATTGTCTCTTTGATGCCAATTCCAAACAATGAAGGGATGATGTTTAGACTAAATAAAAAAAAGTGAATCAATTGAGTTCTTAAAGAAAGGAAAGTATAAAAGTTTGATTGCTTGAGAACTTAAAATAAGTCAGGCAGTGTTTTATGGTATTAAAAGATTAAGTCACTTGCCTTTTACAGCAGCTAAACATACAAGTATGTGATTGATAATTAAAAAAACCTTAATACATACAAAGACACCTCTTCCTTTTATAACTCGTCCGCTCTTTGTAACTCCTCTAATCCTAGACTTTTTCTTGCGCTTTAGTTCCTCCCTTTTCCCCTTGGCATCATTATCATTCTCTTTAGCGCCTCGGAAAAGAAATCTGTAACAATAGATTAAATTTATTACAATTTTAATGTAATGTAATCATATTTCATGTGCTAAACCTCAGATACCATAGCGGGTGTCTACCCTGTTCTGTTCAAATTAAATTTCAGTGACTATGAGTAGGGATAATGTTAAAATGCACAATCTTTGTTAGCGATAAAACAGTATTTTTCAGAGACTTGAACATGATATAATCAGGCATACAATATTTTGTGCCATAACAATTTTGAGCTGGTTGCCTCCTCCCAAAATATGTTCGCTCTTTGATCCTGAATAATTTAATCATTCCCTGCAGTAAGGTGCAAACAAAAGACAGGTTTGGGAAACTATATTTTAGTTAGGATCGATTTTCCGTAACTTTTGAAATCTTAAAATGAAAATCTGTTATTTTTCAGAGACGTCTGTAACTCCATGCCCGGAAGACATCCTGCATAGCCTTAAATGGCCCATTTACACGTTGCTAGTCACTGTCATTCAGTGACTGGAACGGGAACACCAACTGGTATCATGTAAATCAGCCTTAACACTTTCGCCTATCATTTTAGGGCTCCGCCACCACAGGTTTAATTTATTATGCAGATCATTAAGCCTACCTGTATTTTAACTCCAAGCCTACTAATGATAACAATAAAAAATAAAATAAAAAAAAAAATCTTTTTTTATCCGTAATGTGAAAGAGTAGCAAAACGGCCAATGTCGGCTCACAGCCAACAGGAGAGGTGAAAGAGTTAAGAGGCTTGAGGCAATGTTTTTAAAACTGTTAAGCACAGTATGGTGATTGGCAGGATTTGCACCTGGGGACTGCAGAAAGAGTCTTTAATGGATGGATCTTTACCTGGCACAGTTCATACATTTAGAATTTTGGTGTCAAAAAAATGTGTTTCATTGATACAACAAACCACATTTGCAAAGACATTAAAAAATATTCTAGTTGGATGGAAAAATATTTAAATTTAAAACTTGTCTCCGAATCAAAAAGGTGACATTTGATTTCCCGGTGAGCACTACAACAACTCATCTACTCCGAGGGATAAATTTAATAATACAAATAATAAATAACGATAATCTAATGATGATTCAACTTGCCTATTGGGTGGAACATCTGGTATTTCTTCAGGGTTGATTTTAGACACAGTCGCTAGAGGGTGTAACTCAATATCAGGTTTCTCATCTTCTTCGGATTCGTCTGACGATGAAGCTTTCCTGTTAACATTGAGTAATGAGTAATGATCGTATAGTTCTAAAAAAAGCCAAGTAGCTAGTTAAGAATTTATCGAAAATAGATAATAGAGTTCAGCTAGATTACCTGATATAATATCAGGTCATAGATGCACAATAAAAGGTTGCAAAACATAACATTCATATTTAATCCTAATATAAAGCTTCTTCCATGTGTAGATTGAAGAGAAATTTCAGGGTTAAAGGTCAAAACCTAAATTAGGTGATCTTCAGAGTTGCCAACTGTGACTACAGTAGAACCTCGTTAATCCGACCTCCAATGGTCCGACTCCTCGCTTGGTCCTTTTCTGCCCATTATTAATATTAAGTAGGCTCCCACATTATTGTTTTTGAAAAATCACAGTTCATTAGACAAAAATGAAATGGAAGCAAAACAAAGTAAAGTCGATCAAAGCTTCAAGGTCAAGCTATCCGTTTGCAATGACAATCGTCTGCTCCTTAGACCTACACATGACACATCTATCTGCTGTACGCTTGCTGTGTCTCAACATTTTGTGATTGGGTATTTGGTAATCATGACAACTTAAGTAGCCTGTGATTGGGCGATTAGTAACCATGGCAACTTGTTGAATGGGTGGATGAAGAGAAACTCAAGAAAGAATAGAAGAACAAAGAGAGAGAATAAGCGATGTTCTTATGTCATCTTTATTAGTGTTTTTTTATGACTGTTGTTATGCTATAAGTAGGCTACTGTAATTGTATACTTTTTCATGCGTTATCTAATGTTTTTATTGACATTCTTATGTCCTGAAACAGCGCAGCAGTAGCCTATGACTAACATGTTGGCCATACGCTTTTTCAAGCGCTTTCGGCGGGGCAGTCCCGCTTTACAGCAAGTTGTCCCTCTGTCCCCACAATCGGCCGGAGAATGCCTAAATGCCCCGCCTTGGAGGTCAGGCGTTTTAAATATTATATGGAATATGAAATTTAGCCTTTCCACACTAATGTTTAGTTCGTGTAAGAATACTAGTTAGTAATTTTAATGAAAAATAAAGGAAAGCAACCTATTAACTTATTTGGTTAACTGTACAATGAGCACGTCATCGTTCATCGATCGCGTGAACTCGACTATACAACTATACTGTACTCGTCAATGATCGGCATTAGTACAATTTATTTCCACGCGAGTGTTGAAGCGCTGTAGGCTACTACGGCCTCTAAAGACACAGGTTGTCAGTAAACTAAACTGTTAAGTTGTTTACAGTACCTTAACCTCTAACTTTTAGATAACATTCGGTGCGAAGAAAGTTTGTTTATTATTGTACTGTTCAATTATGCATTAGATAATGCCCAAACGGAAATGCACATTTAATAGTGAGTTACAAGCGAAATATATGTTTATTAAACTTAAGTTTGAGACAAACAAAAGTGGTGTAGTCTGTGAGAAGTGTCGTACTGAGTTTAGCATTGCTCGTGGAGGAGCTAATGATATTAAAACACTTTAAGTCAAACAAACATGTTGATTCTGACAATGCTGCGTGCTCGAGCAAAACTATATCTTCATTTTTCAAAAGCAACGTCCCGAAAAAAAAAGACCTGGACGTCTCAGCGGCTGAGGGTGCCGGGCCTACCACACCGTGCGTGAGAACCACAGCTTCCGCTCCAACGACTGCACCTCCAAGGTAATAAATACTTGTTTTGAACCAAAGTTCCACTGTGCTAAGACCAAGACGCAGGCTATAGTTACTCATCCAATCATGGTTCACAAAAAATGTTTCCCGTTGTAGTACGCTATTTTGATAAATTTAGCGGCATCAAAGTAAAGGTTTTAGATTTGTGAACTCTCCCCGGAGAAACATAAGATATTGTCAATTATTTGAAGGACGTGCTGCAAGAACATCAATTAACACAAAAAGTAATTTCATTCAGTGGAGATAACACTAATACAAATTTTGGTGGTGCAGCTAGAAAGGGGAAAGAAAATGTGTATTTCAAACTAAAAGGTTTTTTAGCAGAGATATTGTAGGCATTGGATGTGCAGCACATATAGTGCACAGCACCATACTAAGTGAATCAGATTGTTTGCCAGTAGATGTAGAGGTTATTGTCGTTAAAGTGTATTCATTTTTCTATCTGTGCACAGTAAGGGAGGAAGCTTTCAAAGAAATATGTGATTCGGTCGATATTGAGTACAACAAAATGTTGGGATACAGCGATACAGCAAGACTCGCTGGCTTGCTTCAATCCCAGCAGTTGAAAGAATTTTGAAGCTTTTTGTGCCAAAGAGTACTTTCATAACCAGCCGAAATGTCCTGAGATCCTGAGGAAGTTTTTTGGAAACCCACATTCAGAAGTATGGCTTTATTTCATACATAGTCAAGCAGCTACGTTTCAACAAACTGTTTCAAATGAAGAAGGTGACAATCAGCAATCGAGGGACCTGTTCAAGTAAAAAAACTTGAAGGAAAATCTCAAACAGAAGGCCGTGAACAAATTTGTTCCACACATAGTTCGTAATTTGATGACAAAATGTTGCTCAGAAGAAGAAAAACAAAGTATCACTAACACCTTTGTTTTGTTTTACGAGACATCACTACAGTATTTAGATCAATGGACTGTCCATTTTCAAAACTTGGAGATATTTCAATGGGTCGTTGAAGAACATTCCAAAGTGGGAGGACATCCAACCGTCAGTTGACTTTTTAATTAAGAATAAGTATTTTCCACCAGATTGTGATACTAAAGCATTCAATGAAATTGGGTGTGTGTTGAAATATGTGGAAAGCAATGTTGCTAATTGGAACGAAGAACAAGTTGAAACAGATTCAAGATGGTCTAAAATCTTCACGCACTTTAAAGATAACTCAATAAACTGTGAATACGCAAGTAAAATTGCAAAATATGTGTTCACTCTCCCAGGAAGCAATGCGTCATATGAAAGAGTATTTTCCTCAATGACAAAAGTATGGACATCTGAAAAAACTCAGCTTTCAGTCAGTGTTTTGAAATTGATTCTACAGACAAAAATCAACTTGAATTTGAGTTGTCAGCACTTTTATGCCATGTTAAGATCCTCTCCAAAAGCGTTGCAACAAATAGCCTCCAGTGACAAATATACCACTAAACTCGGAGATCCAGTAGACTGAGCTATACGGTTTGAGCTAATATTTAATTAAGTTAAGTGGTTCCTTTGAGTCGTTTACCGTAGTGTGTTTACGTTTAATAAGAAAAACTAAGATGCAAATACGGATAAAATTTGAGCTAGTATTAATTTAAAGTATTATTCTTTATGATTTGTAATGTAATGTAATGTGAATTTCTTGCATTGTAAATTAACAAAAATGGCAAACTTTTTATTGAAATTCTTATAATTTGTCAATCTATTTATTGAATGTGTGTTGTTTACCGTAGTGTGTTTACGTTTAATAAGAAAAACTAAGATGCAAATACGGATAAAATTTGAGCTAGTATTCATTTACAGTATTACTTTATGATTTGCATATTTTATTATTAAGGATAATTTTGTGAATTTCTTGCACTGTAAATTAACAAATGGCAAACTTTTTATTGAGATTATTTAGATACTTAACTAGTAATTGATGTTTTAGACTGATAAATTGGTTTTTTTTGTCTGCTATGTATATAGTTTGTAGGTCTGATTCTATCCTCTTATTTTATCAATATCTTACAAATGTTTTTTTTATACCAAAACATATCTTTATTTGTAAAACAAATATTATAAAATAGGTAACATGCTTAACAATATGATTCGGCAAATGAAAATTATGAAATAGGCAAGTAAAGCAGCTCACTGACATTTCCAGCGATACAAGTTCTTCTAATATATGATTGAAAATAAATATTTTTTTCACCTAATATTCATGTATGTCATATGTATGAATAGGCCTAGTACCACATCAACAAAAATTGTCATTACACAAAAGTGGTAAATTTTAATTAGTCTATTGTTACTTCACTCCATTGACAAGTATGAATAGAAAAATGCCGTATTGCTTAGAATCAAGTTGCATCGATTCAAATCGAAAACCTTTTGAATCGAATCAAAAGTTTTTTGCACACCCCTAATGAAGAGGGTATTTAACTTGGTAGAAACCTCAAAATTGAACCCTTAGGCTGGAAACCTTGGCTGACTGAAAAAACCGGATCACAGATGGTACGAGAATAAGAATAATGAATATACAGTATTGTCTTTCAGGCTACACAAGCATTGACAAAGTAATATATTCAGCAGAAATGACAAGTCACTAATAGGCCTAAGGGTAATAGGTACAACCGCTATACAGCCTTTTTATTTGAAAAAATTTGATCCAGAGGCTAAATATGTCTATACAAAGTGAGTTTTTACAGACATTTCACTTTGCCAATGTGATCAACTCATAAAAAAGGTCTGTATACATTTTTCAGATTCCCAACCATTTGGCTGTAGATTTTAAAATTACAAAAAATTAAATGTATTTAAATACTGTTGAGCTAAAAGAACTTTAAATTAACAATACAATTTTCTAAAGAGGAAAATGTTAATACCATGCAGTTCAACTTACAAAGAAAAGTGAATTTATTGAATTTCCCACAAGTATTGGGCCGTAAATTACTTATTTGTAAAAAATAAATGTAGGCGTAGCTAACAATCAACCATTTTCAAATGCATTACCCGGAAACAGGTTAATATTTGTGCAGTTTTTCATACAATCACTATAAAATCTTGTTATTTAAGAGGATGTTCTAAGTTAATAGTTTTACCCCATTTTAGGAGTTTTATAGTTAAGTTACCTTTATTTTGTTGTTTACCTTGCGTTAGTGAAGTTCAATTAATACACTGCTATGTATTTCGCCACAGGGATTGGCGTCTTCAGAGTTGCACTAAAGTTATAGAGCTACTCAGGGTCTATTCCAGAAGAGGGCCACCACTTTTTAAACTGTGGATTAACCACAATTTGAGTTAGGTTATTTTCTAGCTTTACCCACACTTTTTTTGTTTACTGAACAAAAATCATCACAAAAACTGAAAAATCACCTAACCTAAATTGTGGTTGATCCAGTTTAAATAGTGGTGGCCCTCTTAAGAAAAAGACCTGTACGTCCTACTATGTACGATGTTTGTCAGTGACTGATGTCTTTTCACATCACCAATCACTTTAGACTTATCAGCCCCACGTGAATAAGTTATAGATAAGTGGTATCAAAAAACAACACTGACTGACAAACATTGTAAATAGTACACAATGTATCTTTATCGCTTTTGTGTAACTCTGATGACGCCACACCCCGTGACCGAATACGTACCAGTGTATTAATTGAACTTCAATAACACAAGTCAAACAACAAAATAATAGATGAGGCTATTCTACTTTCAATACCTATCTACTTATACATAATTCAGTTTTAAAAACCTTTGTACAATTAAATCTAGAGTTCTACTGGACCGATTCATTAATTAATGGGTCGTTGGAAAGCTTAATTCATGTAGATTTGCAAATAATTATGAAAGTTTGTTTTTGTTATGAATTATGGTAAAAAAACATGTTTATCATAAGAAATACATTGAAAACGGTTTTTTTCACACATTTTATTTGGGTGCGTCTTTTGGTTGCCTTTTTTGAGTATTTCAAAGAAGTGCATGGTATTAATTTGTAGGAAATTTGATTCTCTTTCAGAATATCACCTTCCTCTTTCATCGATTTCCTCACATTTTAAAAGTTATTTGCAAAAAAGCTAAGTAGCCTCCGAATTTATAGTAATGAGAAAATACTGAGTTAGGAATATTTTTGTTAAACTTTGTAAACTAAATCTAGACTTATAAAAGACCGATTTTGTTAATTAATGGGTCATTGGAAAGTCTAATTTATGTAGATTTGCAAATAATTATGAGTGTGATTTAATTAAATAGTTGTGAAAAAAATAAAAAATAAAAAAAATAAATTAAAAACTGCTTTTTTAAGTTTCTGATTCCAAGATTCTAATTGTAGAAAATAATAATTGGCTGCCTTTATTAAGTATTTTTAAGAAATTCTTCGTAGTTATTTGTAGTAAATGTATTAAGAATATCACATCCACTTTGGTCAATTTCCCCTCCATTTAAAAGTAATTGGCAATGAGCTAAGTGACCTCCAAATTTATAGTGGTGAGAAAATATTGAATTAGATATATTTTTCTTTAACTTTGTACAACTAAATCTAGACTTCTACCAGACCGATGTTGTTACTTAATAGGTAGTTAGAAAGCCTAAGTCGTGTATATTTGCAAATAATTATGAAAGTTTTGATTTTATTACATGTTTGAGGTGAAAAAAAACAATAATACATTTAAAACGCCTTTTCCCCAAGTTTATATTTGTAGCCAATTTTAGGCTGCCTTTATTGAGTATTTTCAAGAAATACATAATAGTAATTTGTAACGGTAAATATTTTGGAGATCAGAAAACGAGCGTTCAGACGATTTCAAATGTCCCGCACAAGGTCATTAGTTCTCCGAGCGGCCATGTACTGCGCTAGCATCACGACCCCTATAAATACGGCGCAGGACAGGGCACAGTCACTTGAGCACAGGACAAATAGCTAGCAACATCTCTCCCTGGTAAGTGGAGTGGAGTACATCGCAAAACCTTAGGTCGAGGGCGGAATAGCCCGGTAATAAGCCAGTGGTGGAATAACCCTGGTAGCGTCGAATACTAGGGCTAGGCCGGGGGCGGAATAGCTCTCGGACCCGCGTATATTGCGAGACTATAGGTCAAGGGCGGAATAGCCCGGTAAATAAACCAGTGGTGAAACAACTCTGGTAACGTCGAACACTAGGTGATAGGCCAAGGGCGGAATAGCTCTTGGATCCGCGCATATACATCGTGAAACCGTAGGTCGAGGGCGGAATAGCCCGGTAATTAGCCACTGGTGAAATAACTCTGGCATCGTCGAATATTATGTGTTAGGCCAGGGCGAAATAGCTCGTAGACCTGCGACAATCAATTCGGTTTATTGTAAGCATCGTTGGTTTTAATTCCAAAAGTGAAACACGGTATATCCATTAAGTAGAGATTTGTCTTATTTTCGAAGTTAAGATTTTAGTTAGTTACGACCAGTGCTTCACTCATGGAATTAACGCCAAGTAGTCCAAATTACTAAATTGTTTAAATTAAGGCCTAACCCGGGCTGTGATGAATGTATCATTTACTGCAAGCTGATGCTTTAACGACCATATCTGAGCCCATATTTTAAAACTAAATACTATTATTATTACCACTAACTCTGGACATACTCAATTAGATTAGCTATCCGAGGCCGACAGTACAATTTTGTCCCAGGAGGAAATTGCACCGTCACAAATGGCGCTGCAAACATGGACTTGGTAATTATATAGTTATCGATCGTTAATTTTTGCCATTTTTGGCTGGCGCCTGAACGAAGTGTTTTCAGTGAATAAGAACATTAAACACCGAAAATGTGAGTTTTACGATTATTCTTAAACGTTTGGTCTTACCTTCTTTGGCCCGTATATTACGTAATTACTCCGGGTAAAACTATTGCGGATAAGAGTAAAAATATCTCTTAAAGCTACATCGAGCACCGCGATTAGTGCTACAAGTACTGGTGAGATATCGAAAACGACCAAACCGATCGAAACGACTAGTACTTCGACGATTATTACTACTAACCCTGGACATACTCAATTAGATTAGCTATCTGAGGCCGACAGTGCAATTTTGTCCCAGGACCAAATTGCACCGTCACAAATTTGTAGGCAATTTTATTCTCTATCAGAATATCACCTTGCAAAAACGTTAAACAACCTCCCAATTTATAGTGGTGAGAAAATACTGAATTAAAGATGTTGTTAAACTTTGTACCATTAAATCTACGGTTTTACTGAACCAATTTTATTAATAATCATCATTGGAAAGCCTAATTCGTGTAAATTTGCAAATAATTATGAAAGTTTGATTTTTTTAAGATTGACTGGGTGAAACCCATCAAAGTCAACAGTTACTGTTAAGGTTGTCAAGCAAGATCGTTTGACTATAAATCAATGATAAATAACTCTATTTTTTTAACAATTTAGGTTGTTGGTGATTAAGCCAGCTGTAGGTACGTCCGATCTTAATAATCAACAATTCAAATAGAAGCTGGCATTTAACTCAAGGTTCTGGAGGGGTGGTTCCACTGACTGCGGAAATAACGTTCCGGAAATTCAGTTGTGTCCAATCTAGCAACAAGTATGGATAAAAACAACAAGTATTGATGATGAAAGCCCTCGTGGCTTTGATGCTGTATGATGATATTCATGATGATGTTTTCGATCTTTTATTGGTGTCAAGTCATAGCTACTGATTAAAGTGATATATTTAAGATTCGGGACAGTGAAGGAGCTTACAACATACTCGTTCGTAAACATTTGGTAGACAATGAAACAATGTTTAAGCGGTAATTCCGTGTGTCAAAAGACCAATTTTTCTTTTTGGTTAATCTCATCAAAGATGACTTACCCACCAACGCTACTAATCGAGACGAACATCTTTTGAATGCCGAGATTATACTAGCGGTAACATTAAGGTATGTATCAACATTTAGTATTTTTGTTATTTATTTAATGAAATAGCACAAGACATAATGAAACTGCACGGTCACAATAATTTATGGCTCTTCTCCGCTGGCGGAATCCGCACTGCCACTGCTCTCAGACCAGTATGATTTGTCCGCCATGCGGAACCGAAAATTTGGGATGCGGAAACTCACGTCAGTGGAACCGTACACATGGGAACTCCATTAAACCAGTGTCGTTGTAATTCCGCAGCGGAAAAAATCTCACCGCATGGCGGAGATTCCGCAGTCTGTGGAACCATAGCTTAAAGGTTTTTAGACCAAAACATATAAATAATTAATTAATAGTAAATAGTAAATATAGTATAAATAATAAAAATAGTAAATAATAATAAAAATAGTAAAAATAGTAAATAGTAGTAAGTAGTATTAAATAATTAATTAATTAATTAATATAAATAATATAATTAATTAATTATAGGGTAATGTAATTGGAATTGCTGTAATACATCTTAAATTGAAGTAAAAAATAAAAATAAATAAAATTTATATTTTTTTGTCGAGTAATACATTAGATAAATATTAATGATGATGCTTGATGACAAATATGTGCTTGCATAGCTTTATTTTAAGAGCAAAATTATGAAATTTGGTCGGGTAGAAGAGCCAAACTAACTAAAAAAAAACAAATTCAACTCCCATAAGAAATGTACAGGGAGGCAGTTTGTGCATAACTCGAAATAATGTCAAAACTAATGCCGATGCTTGATGGCAAATCTGTGGTACGTCCATAACTTTAGTTTAAGGCCAAAATTATGAAAATAGGTCAGGTAGAAGAACTAACCCAACTCGAAAAAAAAGAATAATTTGTATAATGGCAATAATTGGTTTACCAGTATGCATAATCTAATCATACGAAACATGTGTTAATAATTTAACAGCTAATTGTTATATTGTTATTTAATTGATTTTTTTATTAAACGTTGTAAACAATTTAGATCTGTGTTTAAAGAGTGTTCCTTATGTTAGGTGTGTGATACTAATGTTATGTGCTTAATCTGTACCATTAATATAAGTTCGAGTAAAGTGGTGTATGGATTTCATAACCATTATTTTACTAGAGACCATTGTATTTAACCACAAGGGGCTCTGTTGCTAGTTAAAATATAAAATGTATAGAACAGAATGGGTTTTTAAATTACATACTTTTTGTCTTTTTTCTCAGTCTTCTTTTTCTTTGACTTCTTTCGCTTCTTCTTTTTCTTCTTCTCCTCATCGCTAGAGGAAGATACACTCCTTTTGGACTTCTTAGCTGAAAGCATTTAATATTTATTGAAGATTTAATGTCCATTGGATGTTTTAAAACAGATATTATATCATATCTTAAATTGTTTTATGGGTTTGTAAGATAACTAAAACTTTATACTCTATTTGCTCAGCGAGTGTGGCTGGTCTAAGGGTCGAAACCTTACACACCCACACACACACACAGACGGTAGGGATTAGGACGGACCATTGACCTGCCACGTGAGTCACACAAAACTTTGACCATCATTTGTTTGTTATTTACCTTATGTGATAAAATCTATTGATGCTTTTGACTTTGTCTCAAAATTATACCTGACAATATTTATTTAGCTTAACTAATCTAGCAGTCACAAAAATGTTCATATCAATTCTATAAACCATATAATTCCATTTGATATAAATATTTAGTGTTTGGGCTTGATATTCATGGAATTATACAATAAATTTAGTTTTTATGTAGCAATATAGAAAAAGAAGGGGGTTTTTAATATGTACATAGATTTTTTATTTTATTCTAAACGCCTGTTACATTCTACAATGAATCTTTTCAAAATCAAATACTTTATTCGCTCATTATATTTTGAAAGGTACAAATATAGAAATGTTGTAATTTTAATAAGTAAACTAAAATTAATAAAATACACAATAAAGATAATTACAGTTTACATATAGTAAAAGTTATCACTTATAAAAAACAAGAACTAAGATAATAAATTATTATAAGATTAATGAACACCATCATTAGGTCTACGATGATGTCAGCTTTCAAAATATTTCTTGTCCGTTTAAACGTCAGGATAAAAATCTTCAAATTTAATGTATGCATTTTTTTATTAATAACGAGTAGTTGTAAAGAGCAAGTTTTTTACAGTGTTGGTGGTTCTTTTTGGCTACAGTATTCATTTAACATTTTGATAACCTTGTTTTTGGTGTATAAAAGAGAGAGTCTGTGCTGTGGAAATCGATAACTGTTGAAAACATGGAACAATTTGTCTTATGAAGTAGAGATGGGAAATAACGTTACTTTTCATTTGTCAGGAACGTTCTTTGGTATTAGGTGAAATAACACTATTATTTTTGTCATCAAGTATTTCCCCTTCCAGCATTATTTCACTTGTTCGGACCTACCAGTTTAGACACCATTACAAAAATAATATGATTTTCAGTAGGGGTGTGCGAAGCAGCAAAAAATTTTCGATTCGAAGCAACGATTCGATTCAAAAGATTTTCGATTCGATTCGATGCAACTCGATTCGAAGCAATATGGTATTTTTCTATTCATAATTGTCAATTGAGTGGATTAACAATAATTAAAATTTATCACATTTGTGTAATACAAATTTTTGTTGATGTGGTATTAGGCCTATTCATACTTAACATATGAATTTTAGGTGAAAAAATATTTATTTTCAATCATATGTATTAGAATAACTGCTGGAAATACCAGTGAGCTGCTTTACTTGCCTATTTCATAATTTTTACTTGGAATTGGCTCAACTGCAAGAAAGAAGAAAATATTTTTTTAATCAAGACATTCATTCTCATTTTAATAACTGTTTAAATAACTAAATAGGTACCGGTAGCTAAATTACAACAAATTTGAATGGAACTTAATATAAAAAGACCATTAAGAAATAAATTTACATATCACAAGTTTAGGGCCTGTGGACCGGCTTCAGGACTGCAAGCAAGAAGAAAATAAAAATAATATGTTTCCACCATGCAATATGTATCATTCATTCCCTGCCTCCTAACCTCCTTAGTATAATAACCTCACACTTACATTATTTGTTACATCATCATAAATAAAGAATTATTATTGGCATCAGTAGGCCTACAGCTTTACATAGGCATTATTTTTATAGGGCCTAAAATAGTAATAGGCTAGAAGCAACATGTCAAGTGGAGAACTCATTGAAGAAAAGATATTGTGTAAACTAATTTCCTATAAAACTCAAAAACAGTAAATAACATACAAACATTGTTTATGGTATAATTAATAAGGACTAAAAAATGCATATCATGTCATACAGTAGTATAGACCTACCGGTACTGCAAGAGATTAAAATCCTAAAACAACTGATTTTGATAGCTAATGAATGAAAAGAATTAAAAATCCATAAAATGAAGCTAAACAATATCACAACTAATTAGGTACCCAAAAAGTAACTCTTAAATAATATATAGAAGATTAAAATAATATTAAATCAAGAGACAAGAAAGTTAAATCCTATCTTCTAGTGCCCTTAGCAACACAGGTCAATGTTTTTAAACTACCCTCAATGTTTTTGGAACAGCAGGGCCTTTTTCTCTTAAGGAAGGGTAGTAATGTCAACAAAAACAATGAATCAGTCTCACCAGCCAGGCCCGGGCAACGATGTGTGAATTCAAGGTCATAGACCCTCCCCCTCCCCTCTTACACCACCCGGTTGCTACCCAGTTGCTTCAATTGCTGATAAAATGCATTTGATGAAACAAGGAAGTAGAGACAAAGAAATATATTTCTTTATTCAAAAACACAAAACTGTTAGAGATTATTTTCAAAGAAATTAATTCAATGTAATTTGTGAGTTGTAAATATTGTATTGGATCTTAGAAATATATTTTTTTAACTCTACCTAACCAAGATACAGATCTGTTCACTATATCAGATATTTCTTTTGTTTATAATTTATTATGTAAAATATTAAAATATATTTTTAATTAGGTATTGAATGAACAATACATGATTATACTAGTATGTCTGGATAAATAGTCTTTCTATTCTTTTGACTTTGTTTTCTTTGCACTGTTAGTGTTGCGTCACGGCTTTTGTCTTGTTACTCTTATCAGTAGACGACTAGACCTGGCTCTGGCTAGTGGCAGTGCGGCAATTGCTCTGTTGTGTCTTTATTCTTAAAGGTCGTGAGCCAACTTAATTTTTAATTCTCATTTGAACATTTTAATTCCTCTGTAATAGATATAATAATATAAGAGTGTTTCTTTGGAAATAAATTATTCTTTTTTTTCTTTTGCCCCAACAAAAATTCGGGGACGGGGACCGGCAGACACCTAACAAAAATACCAAATGTATCAGTCTATAACATTGATCTTACTAGTTAAGTATTAAGTAACAATTTTTCAGACTTATTTTTAAAATGATTTTGGAGTAACCTACCTTGTTTTGGCTAGGTTCACAGTAGTAAAATATTTCACACACTGCTTACATCAAGACAAAAAACAAAACCTCTAATCATTTGCAATGTCAAAACAAAAAAATATAAAACAATTAAAGCTATATTTAATGCAAAGAATGTATTAAATAAGAACGCCTTCGTAAAGGAAACGCAACAGCAACGCGCTCCTGTATTGCGGGTATTGCATTGACTTTCTGCAGGCGTTTTTCGTATATGGATACTGACTCCCTCGTGAATCGAATCGTTTTTTGACCACCACTGAATCGAATCGCGATTCGATGCATCGAATCGAATCGAATCGAAATTTCGATGCATTTTCGATGCATCGCACACCTCTAATTTTCAGTAATTGTTACCAAGCGCTCGCTATTATTTAATAGGATTATACGGTCAGCGTTATTTCACTAGCTCGTTCTAACAGTTCAGACTTGTTCTAAACGTTACAAAAATAATAGGGTATTCTCAGTAACCTGTTACCAAGGTAATACAGCGTTATTTCACTTGTTCTGACCTACCAGTTTAGACACCTGTAACAAAAATAATATAATTCTCAGTAATTGTTACCAAGCGCTCGCTATTATTTAATAGGATTATACGGTCAGCGTTATTTCACTAGCTCGTTCTAACGGTTCAGACATGTTCTAAACGTAAAAAAATAATAGGGTATTCTCAGTAACCTGTTACCAATATAATAGGTGAATCTTCAGTAATAGTGTTATTTATCCTATTACCGTACGTTATATAGCGCCCACCACTATTCTGAAGCCTACCTTTCTTCAGGAACAGTTGCCCGCAGTTGAGGACCTTGGCGTCCTGTAGAGGTCGAGAGTTTCGGTCGACTGGTAAGTTCTCTATATGACTCACCACAGCACCTCCGTCCACCACGTGCCCGAACACGACATGAACTCTGGACAAAGAAAATTCAACATGATTCACTTGGTTATTTACATATATTTTTTCCAAACAGCAGTGGAATTTTTTAGGCTAATCAATAGAGAGAAACATACCCCTGCCACAGCAAACCTGCAGACAGCTAGTTTAAACTTGCATGATTGGATTTGTACTCAAATATTTCCTTAACCATCTTACAAATTTACCTAGAAACATTAGGTTTAGGCCTACTCCCACAGGAAAAGTTTTTCAAAAGTTGAAAGAATAACATTTTTGCAATATGTAAATATGCAAATTTGCAAAATGTTGCCAAAATATTTATATATCCAGGAAAACTACAAAATAATTTATCCTCCGTGGGATACAATGTACATAACAGTGCGTTTCAAAAAGAATCATCCGATTTTGAAAAATCATAGCTACTCATCTATGAATTCGATTTTATCGAACAATATACTGTTAGGAAGAGGAAGTTCTTTAGTTTCACAGAAAATATCCAAAAGTCCCATTTCTAAATTTTAAGCCCCCAAAAATCCGAAATGGGAAAACGAAAAACATGTTTTTGTAAACGGCTATAACTAGAGCCAACTAACTTTTAAACACGGTAAGAGCTATCAAAGATTTGAAAGAATTTTCACAATCATGAATTAAATTTTCTACAAGACACTCTTAGGCGTTTTCCGAAAATCGCACCCCTTCACCCCAGAAAAATTCCCTACTTTCAAAAATTGGCATTTGTTTTCAAATTTTCAATTGTTTTGACAACATTTTTCTACCTAAGTAAATTTTTATTACAAGTTGCACATATGCTGTGCATCTAAAGGGGACCATATGAGCACCTGTAAATGGTATTTAAAAAAAACTTTATTATTTAGGCTACCCATTACTGTAATATAAAATTAACCTCATGTATGCTTATTAGTTTTCAAATTATAAACCTACGAAATCGGTAGATTCTTTTTGAAACACCCTGTACTATATTTAGCGCTTAAATATCTCAATAATTGATATACTAAATGGAAATTGACATGAAAGCAGGCTTACCTTTAAATAAGCCGATAGAGACACATAACATAGACCACACAAAAGTAGAAATTTTCACTGGAGTGAACTTTATGTGTCTCTTTCAACTTAAAAAAGTCAAGCCTGCTTTCCTGTCAATTTCCTTAATAATTCCTGGCAAATGCCCTATCTTTCAATCTGATATACTAAATGGTTATTTTAGCTCTACATATTGAATTTAATGAATTTTTTTAAATCTTATTATTTAAAGGTTCTGTTTCTTTTTAAACACCAAACTAATAATTACAACTACTGTGAGACACTTTTCAACGCAAATCCAGCCATGTTGGTATCCTTTTTTCCTCCACTTCATTACCGATTAGCTTATATGTATTGTTGCATAGATATCTATGAGGCTTAGCGTTATCGAGAATTTATTGTAAATAAGACTCAACGCGGTGTTTTCGCAAGGTCAAATAGAGTATGTATTGTATGTCTACGCTTAGTTTGTACGTTTTTTTTATTTCCTCATTTTTTTGACAGTGAAAAGAATAGTTGATTTTTTAGGAAGGCTACTTAAATCACATGATGTAAACATTATTTCTAACCTATCTTGGCATAGTCCGCACTAGTGAGTACTACAACTATCCGCAGTACTATCCTGATAATTAGACCAATTCGTATACACCACGAGGCAAAAATGTGGTTCGGATTCCACAATAAACTGTAGGTCCCTTAGTTGCCATTAGTTGTATGGGATATTAATTAACAGCTGTGTCTAAGGAATGTCGGCCTTAGTTACTAACAAGACTACAAGATCGCGCCACTCATCTCCATTTATACTTGGCTTAAAATACCTACTTTGTATGGTTGCCATTTCATCGAAAAGTATTAAAGTAAAGTGAGAGTATTTGCATACTCGTTGGAGTTGCGAAAACCTCATGTTGGGTCTATTCACAATAAATTCCCATTAAAACTAAACCTCATAGATGCAACAATGTAAATCAGCTGATTGATAATGAAGCAAAGAAAACAGGGATACCAACATATGGGCTTTTTTGGCATAAATGTCTTACGCATACTTGTAATTTTGGTTGTATAAAAAAATACACAGACACCCTGTTTTCTTTGTAAAACATAAATAAAAATTATTTGAAACACTTACCCGTCAAGATGGGGGGCGGGCTGCGTAGTTCTACAACAGAAAACATGTGAAGTGAGAGAACGAGCGGCAGTGGCGTAACACAGCCCCTCTTGTCTCACAGATACTATGCAAAAAACAGACGGATTTAACCTCTATTTGGACAAAGATTGTCCACCAAGTAGTTTAAAATTTGTGAAGATTCAAATGTTAGTTTGTGTCATGAATGATCTCATTGTAAATTGAAATTAACCGACACAGAAAACGTGCAATCCAAATGTTAATTGTGAATCATCTAAATTGTAGATAGTATTAAACAGAGAATACGTAACCTAGTTTTGACAGGTAAATGCTTACTGAATCCTTTTAATTGATCTCTTATTTGCACTAGTAAAATGGGCCATGGTAAAATTTTGTTCAACATTTTTTAGCTAAGAAACTATAAAATTTTGTTCAACATTTTTTTTGCTAAGAAACTATAAAATTTTGTTCAACATTTTTTAGCTAAGTAACTATACTATCACATTTGGATTATTAGATTTTTACGTGTGTATGGAATTGCCCTGTTACAATATAATCATTTCCTAAAAAAAAAAATTAGAATGTCAAAAGGAACAATTAGTTTTCTGTGTTTCTGTTCAAGGAGAGTAACTGGCCATAAAAAAAATCATTAGAATAACAAAATGTTCATGTAGTAGATAAATAATCCTCAATGTCGCCACTGAATTTACTGTCCATTGTGTATTAGCTCACCACAGGCTTTGCTTGTTAGGTTCCATGCACAGGCCTAGGGCCCATGTGGACAGGTAAATCATAGGTTTGGAGAATTCAAACCTTTTTCGTCTCAAAACACCTAGAGCATAAACTCAATAAAATACATTAACATTTTTGTTGTTGTTGCATATACACAAAAAAACTATTGTTGGATTTATTGTTGTATATGAGAACGAGAACTCTAACTATCCGAATTGGTTGGGACCAAATCATATTCGGATAGTTGAAAATTTGGGTGGTTGGATTTTTACCGACTGTGGGGTATTTCATAGAAAATAGGCAGAGCCAAGTGGAGCTTTTACCGTAGCAATCACAACGAGTTTGCAAAGATTTCATGACAAAAAATTCACACTTTTGACACGAAAGCGGAAGAAGATTATGATTTTCTGTGATCGCGGGAGACGATTATGATGTAGACTGTGGAATATGTTCAAGATCGTGGGAGACGACGATGATGTCTACACAATCGCAGGTCATATTTAAAGTTTGCCTTGAGCTTTAGGAGACGAGGATGATGTTTCTATGACTGTGGGAAGCGATGGTCATGACTACACTACCGCAGGAGATGTTCAGGATTTTGCCGCGATAATGGCTTCTGCCTTCCTTAACGATTCATATTACTGTAGTTCTTAAAATTCGTTCTTCAAGCAACTCCGATTGTTTGAATTCTACTTTAGATCTTAAATATTTAAAAGTAGATGAACCAACCTAAGGGCCTTTAACTTAGCCTCTAGTATAAAAAGAGATTTCCAAAATATGACAAAATGTTTCAAATCGATGCCTAAAACACGATGCAACAGTTACAGGTAAAATAGAAGTTAAAATTATAACAGGGTCCCAACTCAACTTGAAAGTAAAATTCAGGGGGTCAGTGGGTCATACATATATTAAACACTTTTGTTTTGTTGAGTGTTGAAAGGCTTAGAAACAACAACTCTTGTAGGTGTACAAGAGGTTATTTTATACAATAAATAAAAACAAAGCAGTCGACAATTACAAAGGAAGGTAATATCCACCCAACAATTTGAAAATATTACATGGATGGATGATTTCTTCATAATCAATAGAAACGTCTAAACTCAAAATAGTCTAAATATAGTGAATATTTATAAAACAAGGACGTCGAAAAGCTAAAGATTTGGGTAATTTTAGTACTCCTTGTTCTAGTAGGATTTTAGTAAAAAACTTATACATTAAGTAGGCCTAGTTACAAAACCCTACATTACCATTAAAGCAGTTAGGAATGACTGCTCTTTAAAAAAAAATACAAAAACAAAACAATGTTAACATTGAAGCATTGGCCTTCAAATGTTGAATTCAGGAAGCTATATCCCAACAAAGCACCAGGTCAGGTGGATATGGATGACAAACTCAACATCGAAAAGAAACATTACTTCGACAATGCAAGGAACTGATTGCATGAAAACCTGACAAAAACACACCGTCTTTTTAATTAGGTCATAAAGAGCTGACTGCAGAATCGATCCGGAACCTATATCTTTGATACATTTTTTAAACGGGGATTTCGAGGATAGTAAAATACTAAATTCCTACCAAAACCCAAGCCTCACAGTTAACCTACAAGATGAGAAACGATTTCCTGTGCTACATAAAGCAAACAAGCCCTACAATACCATAACCTTGTGCGAGATAACGGTAAGATAAGAAAATGTGATCTTAAGCTGATCTGAACAAAGAAACATCTCCATATTATGGAGAAAGATTGCAAACAGGCTGTGCCAAGATTTGAAGAAACAAGTATTATATCATTGCTCTCCCAATCTCGCATAGTGCTTATGCTGGCGCTGGACATGGTGGAGGGGATGACTGTAGTTCTCTACCCAGTGACCAGGGGCTGTACTATCAATCAACACTACATTATTATAGTTTGTCTTCACTCCAAAATGTCATCACGCTATAACAATTTTGAAGGATGTAAGAGAATGATGTTATGAACCAAGTTTGTTACTCAATTACTGATCTTGCTTTCAAGAGACAAACTTACTTGCAACTATAAGGCACAATAGCAGTAACCAGCTAGTCCTTCCTGATTAAATTAAATTAATTAGCACTGCACTATTTTCTATTCAGTCGATTAAATAAAAAATGTATTGTTAACTAACAGTAAAATAAAAATAAATGTTCTATATGACAATTGGCCTATGATAAAACTTATCAGTGAAGTAGTTACAGTAGGGTAGCCTACCATTAGAGCAGTTATGAATATTTCAACTGTTTCAAGTATTATCTGCCTTGATTTTTTTATAAAATACATCAACTTTTATAATTGTTGTATTCTGTTTATCCTACCAGTTTAACTGAAATTTATTAAAAAGCAGTAAGCTACAATAATGAGACTAATGGTAAAATGACTTACATGAAAAACTGTGATCCATTCGTGTTTTTTCCCCTGTTTGCCATTGAAAGCAACAAGGGTTTGTCATGTTTGAGGGTGAGGTTTTCATCTTCAAACATTCCACCGTAGATGGACTCACCCCCTGAGCCGTTCATTGCCGTAAAGTCACCACCCTGAATCATGAAGTCCTTGACCACTCTATGGAAGACAGTTCCCTTGTAATGTAGAGGTTTTCCGGTTGTGCTACCCAAACCTTTGTCCCCGTTACACAGCGAGATGAAGTTTTCGCAAGTTTTTGGGCATAAATCTGAATACATCTCGAATATAATCCTTCCAATGTGGATTTCTCCGACTTCAATGTCGAAGAAGCAGCGAGGACGCACATTCTTAATTTCTTTTCCTTCGCCCATGTTTGAAGTGTGCCTAGCTGAAAATAAAATAGCGGTGTTATTATAACTAAATTTATAGCTACCACCTAATTAATCCATAGTGATAAAATATAAATAGGCCTACCACTTAGTTAGTAGGGTTGCCATATCCCCGGAGATAACCGGACTTCGACGATCAAAATTTAGCTCCGGGGGATTTCTGCAAATAGTGAGATCTCCTCTTTTTTACTCTCTATTAAAATAACATTGTTGAACAGCACTTTTGGAATAAAATAAACATTTGTGTTTGCAAATATTGTTATGCAATGACTGAAAAATGCAACTCTTGTACCCTACTAACTTTGTTTTATTCCTTGTTAGTTTCACTTTGGCCAGCAACGTCCTTAGTTTATCGTCTGTTTCATTGCTCCCAGTCCTTTAAATCGCGTCTGCTGGCCAGTCCGAAGTCCGAAAGTATCCGTGTTCACTACCAAAGCCGAACCAAGTAAGCAGACAAAGAGTTTTGTTTATGTTATTCGTTATTTTTAGTGGGATGTGACAAGCAAGATGCAAATTTTATGCTTTCGCGTACCATATTTGTATATTGACATTGTAGCGCGAATATTGAACATAAAAAGCATGGATTAATAAACGGAAACAAATGACGTCACTGGCCCCAATGTCAATAGGCCTACTAATAGCCGTAACAACTGGTTTGGACGGTTTTTGACGGTTCCATTTTTTTTGTTTTTTTTTTTTTTGTATGAGCCATGCTGTTTCTGTTATTATATTTGTGCTGTGTAGGTATACGATTTTGCTAGCCCGTGCACTTTTATTTACTGGAGGGGGGGGGGCCGACAGCTAAAATCTCCCATTTTTTGCAAATAACCATATGGCAACCCTATTAGTTAGGGTACTCAAGATAACTACAGTCCTATGTAAAAAAACCAAATGCCAAATGGTAAATTCCACTAAAACCTTCGATGTGAGAATTCTTTCTATGATTTCATTACCAAATCTTATTAGGTTATTTCATTTGATATCTTTTAACTAATGTCATATGTATTTCAACACTACTAGTCAAAAGAGGCAAAACAGGAGTTGTGTGAAATCCCCACAAACAGCCCCTCGACGCAAAAAGTTTGCTGCCTCGAGACATATAGTTCTCTGCCCCGAGACTTGAGCTCCTCTAAAGATAAAAGACGTTCAGTAGGCTCGTGATCATTCAAAATTGGTGGCCAAGGAATATAAGAGGATTCTACCCTCAAGGAAGAGGCATGCACCCTCCTTTGCAAAACTACCTGAATAATTTCAACTATAATCTGGGCCCCATGCCTATTGACTTCTAAGCTCAACAGTGGATGCATAACGGAGGCTGTGGGGTCCTGGGATAATAGCTGCAGGGACTGTACAGAAGATTGTAGAAGGTTTAAGCAGTTGGTATCAGACCGACCTTTGTTGGGAACTGTGGTTAACGTTAAAAAATCTGGGCCCCATGCCCATGGACTTCAGAGCTCAACAGTGGATGCATAACGGAGGCTGTGGGGTCCTGGGATAATAGCTGCAGGGACTGTACAGAAGATTGTAGAAGGTTTAAGCAGTTGGTATCAGACCGACCTTTGTTGGGAACTATGGTTAACGTTAAAAAATCTGGGCCCCATGCCCATGGACTTCAGAGCTCAACAGTGGATGCATAACGGAGGCTGTGGGGTCTTGGGATAATAGCTGCAGGGACTGTACAGAAGATTGTAGAGGGTATAAGCAGTTGGTATCAGACCGACCTTTGTTGGGAACTGTGGTTAACGTTAAAAAATCTGGGCCCCATGCCCATGGACTTCAGAGCTCAACAGTGGATGCATAACGGAGGCTGTGGGGTCCTGGGATAATAGCTGCAGGGACTGTACAGAAGATTGTAGAAGGTTTAAGCAGTTGGTATCAGACCGACCTTTGTTGGGAACTGTGGTTAACGTTAAAAAATCTGGGCCCCATGCCCATGGACTTCAGAGCTCAACAGTGGATGCGTAACGGAGGCTGTGGGGTTCTAGGATGATAGCCGCAGGGACTGTACAGAAGATTGTAGAGGGTTTAAGCAGTTGGTGTCAGACCGACCTTTGTTGGGAACTGTGGTTAACGTTAAAAAATCTGTGCCCCATGCCCATGGACTTCAGAGCTCAACAGTGGATGCGTAACGGAGGCTGTGGGGTTCTAGGATGATAGCCGCAGGGACTGTACAGAAGATTGTAGAGGGTTTAAGCAGTTGGTGTCAGACCGACCTTTGTTGGGAACTGTGGTTAACGTTAAAAAATCTGGGCCCCATGCCCATGGACTTCAGAGCTCAACAGTGGATGCGTAACGGAGGCTGTGGGGTTCTAGGATGATAGCCGCAGGGACTGTACAGAAGATTGTAGAGGGTTTAAGCAGTTAGTATCAGACCGACCTTTGTTGGGAACTGTGGTTAACGTTAAAAAATCTGGGCCCCATGCCCATGGACTTCAGAGCTCAACAGTGGATGCATAACGGAGGCTGTAAGGTCCTGGGATAATAGCTGCAGGGACTGTACAGAAGATTGTAGAAGGTTTAAGCAGTTGGTATCAGACCGACCTTTGTTGGGAACTGTGGTTAACGTTAAAAAATCTGGGCCCCATGCCCATGGACTTCAGAGCTCAACAGTGGATGCGTAACGGAGGCTGTGGGGTTCTAGGATGATAGCCGCAGGGAACTGTACAGAAGATTGTAGAGGGTTTAAGCAGTTGGTGTCAGACCGACCTTTGTTGGGAACTGTGGTTAACGTTAAAAAATCTGGGCCCCATGCCCATGGACTTCAGAGCTCAACAGTGGATGCATAACGGAGGCTGTGGGGTCTTGGGATAATAGCTGCAGGGACTGTACAGAAGATTGTAGAGGGTATAAGCAGTTGGTATCAGACCGACCTTTGTTGGGAACTGTGGTTAACGTTAAAAAATCTGGGCCCCATGCCCATGGACTTCAGAGCTCAACAGTGGATTAATAACGGAGGCTGTGGGGTCCTGGGATAATAGCTGCAGGGACTGTACAGAAGATTGTAGAAGGTTTAAGCAGTTGGTATCAGACCGACCTTTGTTGGGAACTGTGGTTAACGTTAAAAAATCTGGGCCCCATGCCCATGGACTTCAGAGCTCAACAGTGGATGCATAACGAAGGCTGTGGGGTCCTGGGATAATAGCTGCAGGGACTGTACAGAAGATTGTAGAGGGTTTAAGCAGTTGGTATCAGACCGACCTTTGCTGGGAACTGTAGTTAACGTTAAAAAATCTGGGCCCCATGCCCATGGACTTCAGAGCTCAACAGTGGATGCATAACGGAGGCTGTGGGGTCCTGGGATAATAGCTGCAGGGACTGTACAGAAGATTGTAGAAGGTTTAAGCAGTTGGTATCAGACCGACCTTTGTTGGGAACTGTGGTTAACGTTAAAAAATCTGGGCCCCATGCCCATGGACTTCAGAGCTCAACAGTGGATGCATAACGGAGGCTGTGGGGTCCTGGGATAATAGCTGCAGGGACTGTACAGAAGATTGTAGAAGGTTTAAGTAGTTGGTATCAGACCGACCTTTGTTGGGAACTGTGGTTAACGTTAAAAAATCTGTGCCCCATGCCCATGGACTTCAGAGCTCAACAGTGGATGCGTAACGGAGGCTGTGGGGTTCTAGGATGATAGCCGCAGGGACTGTAAAGAAGATTGTAGAGGGTTTAAGCAGTTGGTGTCAGACCGACCTTTGTTGGGAACTGTGGTTAACGTTAAAAAATCTGGGCCCCATGCCCATGGACTTCAGAGCTCAACAGTGGATGCGTAACGGAGGCTGTGGGGTTTTAGGATGATAGCCGCAGGGACTGTACAGAAGATTGTAGAGGGTTTAAGCAGTTAGTATCAGACCGACCTTTGTTGGGAACTGTGGTTAACGTTAAAAAATCTGGGCCCCATGCCCATGGACTTCAGAGCTCAACAGTGGATGCATAACGGAGGCTGTAAGGTCCTGGGATAATAGCTGCAGGGACTGTACAGAAGATTGTAGAAGGTTTAAGCAGTTGGTATCAGACCGACCTTTGTTGGGAACTGTGGTTAACGTTAAAAAATCTGGGCCCCATGCCCATGGACTTCAGAGCTCAACAGTGGATGCGTAACGGAGGCTGTGGGGTTCTAGGATGATAGCCGCAGGGGACTGTACAGAAGATTGTAGAGGGTTTAAGCAGTTGGTGTCAGACCGACCTTTGTTGGGAACTGTGGTTAACGTTAAAAAATCTGGGCCCCATGCCCATGGACTTCAGAGCTCAACAGTGGATGCATAACGGAGGCTGTGGGGTCCTGGGATAATAGCTGCAGGGACTGTACAGAAGATTGTAGAGGGTTTAAGCAGTTGGTATCAGACCGACCTTTGTTGGGAACTGTGGTTAACGTTAAAAAATCTGTGCCCCATGCCCATGGACTTCAGAGCTCAACAGTGGATGCGTAACGGAGGCTGTGGGGTTCTAGGATGATAGCCGCAGGGACTGTACAGAAGATTGTAGAGGGTTTAAGCAGTTGGTGTCAGAACGACCTTTGTTGGGAACTGTGGTTAACGTTAAAAAATCTGGGCCCCATGCCCATGGACTTCAGAGCTCAACAGTGGATGCGTAACCGAGGCTGTGGGGTTCTAGGATGATAGCCGCAGGGACTGTACAGAAGATTGTAGAGGGTTTAAGCAGTTAGTATCAGACCGACCTTTGTTGGGAACTGTGGTTAACGTTAAAAAATCTGGGCCCCATGCCCATGGACTTCAGAGCTCAACAGTGTATGCATAACGGAGGCTGTGGGGTCCTGGGATAATAGCTGCAGGGACTGTACAGAAGATTGTAGAAGGTTTAAGCAGTTGGTATCAGACCGACCTTTGTTGGGAACTGTGGTTAACGTTAAAAAATCTGGGCCCCATGCCCATGGACTTCAGAGCTCAACAGTGGATGCGTAACGGAGGCTGTGGGGTTCTAGGATGATAGCCGCAGGGACTGTACAGAAGATTGTAGAGGGTTTAAGCAGTTGGTATCAGAC